GGGGGCGTGCCGAGGCAGGCAGCGGCACAGGTCGGGGCGGGGTGAGGCTGCCTTGGGCTAACCTATGAGGTGTGCGATGTTGTCTTTGCTGCCTGTGAAGAAGTTGTCGATGCAGATCACCTGAGTGGGATGAGAAGGAGAGTTTGCGCGTGTGCATGTGCATCATGGTCGACTGTGCTCGCATGAGTGCACGTTGCGTGTTGGATTATCGCAGGTTGTGACATTGTTGGCACCTCTTGGATGGGCACTGGTCTAAACACGAGGGACTTTGTTTGTAACCCGACAGCTGCATGTTATGACAACTGGCCACTTCTGCATCATCCACAAAAGCGGCGTCTTGGTGAGCGCGGCAGTTTCAACTCAAAAGCGCGCCGCGGCTGCTGCTCTACCTCCACCCATGCCGGCCGGCCCCGCTGTTCTGGACACCTGCTGTGATGAGGACCGCCAGCGACAGCCAGCCACGTAACGCACGCTCCCAACGGGGAATCGCCCAGCTCCTTGCACGCACGCAGCCACGTGCGTAGAAACAAACACACACACACACACACACACACACACACACACACACACACACACACACACACACACACCTGCAAATGTCCGAGCAAGTACACGTGAACACACACACACACATGTGCACACGCACACACCATACACACACATGCAAATGTCCGAGCACGCACACGTCAAAACACACACACGCGCGCGCGCGCACACGCGCAGCCCCCCAACCCACCCCTCTCCCCGCACCTGGTCGCCCCTGTTTACGAGGAACTCGCAGAGGTGGCTCCCCACAAAGCCGGCACCGCCCGTCACCAGCACTCTGTTGCGCTCGACGCGCGGCTTGGTTTTGATGACGCCGTCGGCCAGAACGCCCTGGCTGGCGCGGGGGTCGCGGCGCACCTTTCGGAGGCGGGAAACAGTGGTGTGGGCCCAAGGGTTGGAGGGGCGCACCGCCAACGCGACAAGGGTGCTGCGAGGCAAGGGTAAAGCAGCGGTGACCGCTGCCTGCTGCCGCACAGGCTTTATGGGCGCTGCACAGTCCTGTGCAGTGTTGTGGGGCTGCTGTGGCCCTGCGCGTCTGCTGAGTCAGTTGGCGGCGCTGTCGCCCCCGGCCATTGATCGCAGGTGTGGGGTGCGGAGCGGCACATATCACATATCCCTAAGGTTTGTTGACGTCTGTACGCGCAGGCGATACGTATATCAGCTTTTGCCCACACCGGGTTCGTGGTATCCAGGCACGACGTTGTGGCATCATACAACATGTTAAGTGGCTCACCGTGGCTCCGCCGCCCCCAGCTCCGGCGCCAATACCCAGATCGCTCATTGTAATGCGACCTGAGCCGGTTGAAAAATCAGCTGCACACCGATTTGAAATTGAAGTACCAAGTCGATGTAACGAGACGCCTAGGCTTGGCACCGAGGCAGTGTGCTGATATGTGCGCCAGTGACTCCTGGTGACTCCAGGGCATGCACTCCTGCTTGTACAGCACCGCGACCTGACCGACCTCCTCTTAAATTGACAATGCAACATGAGAAAATCTTACTCAAGCAGTATTGTGAAAGATATGGGTTGCACAACTGCAGGTTGCTGCCCTCCCACTGGATTAGTACCCCACCCTCCCCGGCCCCACATGTCTTTCTCCCCCCCATTTGTTTGTTTGTTTTTTGCGCCCCCTGTCCGGACCGACTGCTCCTCCGTCTCCGTGCATGTGCATACCGCCGTTGGGAGACCTGCTGTTACACAAGAGTGGCTTTGCCGCTGCTTATACTGCTGCCGGCGCCTCCGCTGCCTGCAACACCCCCCATCCCTTCCTGCTCCTGCTCGTCGTCGCCGCCCTCGCCCACGGCCACGACCGAAGCTGCGTCCACAGGCACCAGCCGCAGCGGTCCGCTCGCAGGGTCGTGCACAAAATGGGCGAGGAACTCTGTGTTGCCGCCCTTGTCGCCCTTCAGGGGGCTTTCCATGACGCCCCGCGGCTGCAGGTTGTACGCGCTGATGCCACGCGTGATGCGCTCGATCACCTCCGCATGGACCTAGGTGCGATTGTCGCCCGTGACCATGGAAGGGAAGGAACATTTGTTGGTGGGGCGAATGTTGCGACATTGATGCGCTGCCACGATCGGTAGGGATAGGAAGGGTGAGGCGTAGAGGGCAGGTGCACAGCATGTCTCCGTAAGGACTGCTCAACTGCACATGGTGGTCTCGTCGTTTGTGCATGTGCTGCTCAAACATCGCAGTTAACAGCACTTAAACACCTTGACTACCCACTCTTCTGGCTCCACGGCCCGAACCCCTTGACAGGCCAGTCCCCCGGCACACCCCACCTTCGGGTCCCTCACGACGCCCCCCGCGCTGACGGCGCCGCGCCCCGCCTCGAACTGCGGCTTTATGAGCACAACCATCTGTGCGCCCTCGGGCCGCATGACGCCTACGACCGCGGGCAGCACCTTGAGGACGGATATGAACGACAGGTCCAGCGTAACCAGGTCCACCTGGCGGTTTGGATACCATGATGTGAGGTCGTTGCAATCCTTATGTTTGCCATGTGGCTTCTGTTGCTTTTCTGCACGCAGCATGCTGTACATGGCAACTGGCTCCTCAACGTATGGCATGCGGCTGCTGGTCAAGCAGGGGACGACAAAGCCGTCGCCCGCATGTCACATCAGGGGGCTCGAGGAGGCGCACAGGAGGCACACTTCGGCTGCAAATAATCCTCTGCAACGTGGTGCCATCGAGGGACAGTCAAGGGGCCCTCAGGGGGCAGCTGCGCGCGGCCGTCAGGTGCGCACCCTGGTGGGCAGGTCCTCCGGCTTGAGGTGGCGCAGGTTGGTCCGCTCCATCACCGTCACGCGCGGCTCCTGGGCGATGCTACCCATCACCTGGCCGTAACCGACGTCAACACCATACACCTGGCAGTGGTGATGGCGTGCGAGCGGTGTAGATTATAGCTGCTGGTGTGAGATGGCGGTAGGATGGCGCTTGAATGCAGTGCCAGGAAACATTTGCTGGTGGTTTAGGGTCCACTGCGGCAGCTTGCAACCCCCATGCCGCAATGTGGCACCTTGAGCACCCCCTCTGCCGGTGTCAACCAGCACGCAACCTGCGCACCCGTGCGATGCCGCGCTGCAGCAGGCAGTCTGTGAAGCCGCCCGTCGACAGCCCCGCGTCGAGCGCCGTCAGCCCCGTCACGTCGACGCCAAAGTGCTCCAGGGCCGCTTCCAGTTTGTGGCCCGCGCGGCAGACGTACTTCGGCTGCTCCGCGTTGATGCGCACCGTCGCGTCTTTGGGCACGGGCGTGCCGGCCTTCGTGACAACCCTGCAATGTTGTGCACGGACGCATGGCATCCGGGGCTGTTTGAGAGCGTGCCATGCAGAGAGATGCTGCGCCCGCTGCCCTGCACGCCACGCGTGGGCTGGCAGACGGGTCGAGCCACTGCTGGCATCAAGCCGACACGCAGCCGAACATGCATGAATAAGAGGTGATTGCCAACATCTGGTTTGACCCCACCTGTCGTTGACGAGCACTTTGCCCTGCACTATCCATGACTGTATGAGGTTTTTGCTGTGCTCTGGGTGCAGCGCAAGACAGTAGTCATCCAGCCGCTGCTTCTTCGCACGCCCCTGCTGCTGCAACAGCTGCCTGCCGGTCTGCTTGCCGGCGCTGCTGCCTGTCGAGTCCCGCCCTGATGTGCTCGCCTCGCCAGCGGTGTGCTGCTGTGCAGCGCAGCACACCGGCATGCTGCGCGACCATGCAGCCACGCCCCTACTACCAGCGCTCATGAGGCTGCGATTGTGCTGCTCCCATGGCAGGGGCTGATGCACTGCCGGCCGCGGTGGCACAGGGGTGACTGCGAGTGAGACGCCGGCCTGCAGCCAGCAGCACAGCGCACGTGGCTGCATCAACACTGAGCGCATGGCAGAGTGCTGGCAATTACTGCGCCCTGGGCCTGCGCAGCGCATCATTCAGAGCCACGCAAGGCGAAGAAAGCAGTGCTGCACCAGACTGTGGCGACTCCGCTCGTCTACGGTGATCCGGAGTCAAGCGAACAGCATTTTGTAGCATGTCAACATATACTTATTTCCACGAATATCAATGTTCTCAAACGAGCGCAGCACATACGTACTAGACCGCTGGCTGGCCGAGCCCCTGCTCGACGTCTCGCGTCTAGCCCACCGCAAGTACCACGATCGCCTGGGGCTTTTAACACTCTCCCAGGGAAATTCCTGCCGCGAAAATTGTGATCTAGCTTGTTGACCGCGGGTCGTCCCCTTCCTTTGCGAAGGCAGCACAGCAGCCGCAGCAGTGATGGAGAATGACCCAGGCATGGACTCGTTGACGGAGGACGACCTGATAGACGATGCGGAGATTGACACCATGGTGCGCGAGGTCATCACTGGCGCGATCGGCGACAGCGCGTTCCTGCTCGCCAAAATCGACGCGTGGAGTAGCAACATCGCAGAGGGGTGCCTGAAGCGGCTAGCAGCTCTCAGCAAGCCCTTCAAGTACGTCATCACGTGCAACCTGTCGCAAAAGGCGGGCGCGGGGCTGCACGCGGCGAGCTGCACGCGGTGGTGCGACAAGACCGACGGCAAGCTGACTGTGCAGTGGTGAGAAAAATTGGTTTGGGACACCACCAGGAGGTTGGATCAGATAAACCAGTGCCGCCCTGGGCTAGGAGGCGTGCGGCGGCCACATGTGAAAATACGCTGCCTGTGGGGTTGCATGCCGCGGCTGCGTAGAAGCAAATCGGCATGGCAGTCCGACATGCAGGGTGTGTGGAGGTGCGGGACGAATGCTGCCGGATTTCCACTTGAATGATCTTCAATGAACAAAAGCACTCAACGTGCCAGCACAGCAGCATGGTCAGGCACAAGGCGTCTGGCGTGTGGCACCGCTCCAACACACGGCTGCAAAGGCAAATAGACCTTCCTGCCATGTGCAGGCTTCATCCATTCGCTCCCCCATGTGCCACCACCTGCAGGGAAAATCCCACCATTCTTGTGCTGGTGGCGGTCTATTGGCTGGGCATCTGAACTCCTGGCGAGCCAGCGCGGGCGTGAGGCCAGTCATGCCCACTCGTGCAGGCGTTTTCGTTTAGCTTGCATTCTTGTTACTTGCCCTTGATAAGGGTGCGAACCGAGCTCCAGAGGACATCGGCACTTGCCACTCATGACTGGCGCAGCGCAACGCATGACCATTGGATGGCAGGCCGCTGTATGGGCCATACAGCAGCGGCAACCCCGCAACGCACCCCAAGCTGGGAGCTGTTGTACATGCCCAAGGGTGGCTCATCAAATGCTGCGGCAGGCACAGCCGCTGTTTATGGGCAAGAACATGTGTGCACCATGTGAATAACAGGCAGCCTGGCCTGCAAAAAGGCAGAACGGTCGTGCTGCGCGTTGCGCTCTCGACCCCAGCAGCAAGAGGGGGAGCAGGCTGGCTGTGGGGGAGTGCAGCACACAGCAGCAGCGGATTCTTGTGATCGCTCAAAGTTTGGCTTGACTTGTACATGTGCACAGTGTTTGGTGAGAAAGGTCAATTGAGCGTGCAGCCAATCAGGCGCAGACCTGGCATCAACTGGCGCAGCAGAACCACCAAAAGCTCGCGCGCGCAGGCCGTGCCCTGCTGCCTGCCTCAACTCAGCCATCAGGCCGCGCCCAGGTCAGCGCTCCTGGCCACGCAGCAGCTGGTAGCACTGAGCGTGCCCTGCTGCCTACGAGGACCCAACCACGCCGTCATGCGCGGGGTCACTGCTCCTTGCCGGGCAGCGGCTGGTAGCACTCATTCGCATACGCCTGCGCGGCCGTCGCCGCCGCAGGCTGCTCAGCAGTCTCGTTCACGACGACGAGCACGCGCGCGCTGCCCACATCAGCTTGGTCGACCAGCAGCGGGTGCTCCAGCTCGTCGCCAGACGCAGTGCTGCGGCGCGACGCACGGCGCGACGTGCCGCCGCGGTATGCCTTGAGCGAGCCGCCGCCGCATGCGTCGCCGTCGCCCGCAAGCTTCGCGTACGCCTCGTCGCTGCCGCCGCCGTCGCCGCCGCGGGCGGACAGCGTGGCGCGCAGCTGCACAAGTGAGCGGACGAACGCCACGAACGTGGCAGCACAGGCTGCGCTGAGCACCAAGACCAGCAGCCGGCCGCTTCCCTCAGGCTCCTGGCCCTCAAGGTCGCGCAGCGCGGCGCCGCCCTCCACCTCCGCCCCCTCCTGCAGGTAGTCCATCTCATCCACATCCTCAAAGCTCGCCGCCGCGGCCGACAGGTCCACAAGCTGCACGGCATGGCCACCGATCACGGCCACCATGTTGGGGCCATCGGGGCGCTGCAGCAATTCATCAAGCGCCGCTGCGTTCTCGGAAGCCTCGCGCCGCCGCGCCTCGGCGGCAGCCAGCATCGCGGCGCGGTGCGGGCACGGGCGGCGCGGCGGCGGCGGCCGCGCGTGGCCGGGGCCGGGGCCGAAGGCGGCGAGCGCCTGGGCGTGCGCTTGCTGCTGCAGCAGCGCGCTGTGGAAGCGCTGCTGCTGCGCCTCCAGCGCCTCCATCATTGAGTCCGCCTCGTGCATAAGCGAGTCCAGCGCAAACGCCGCCCAGCTGCCCATCTGGGCAGCAGAGGCCGGGCCGCGAGCGGCGTGCACCATGTTCTCTGGGAAGGGGGCGAGCAGCTTCTGCATCAGCGCGACGCCGTCGGCCGCAGCAGCAGCTTCGCCCGCGCGCATCATGGCGGCAGCGGCCTCGGTGGCAACCTCGTCGCCAGCGGGCGACGCACGAAAGCGAGCGGCAATGTCGCTCGGGCCGTCATGCGAAAGCCTCCTGCAAGCGCAAAGGCAGCGATGCCGAGTGGTGCGCAACGTCAGCAGCACATCTGGCATGCCGCGGTGAGCGCCATGTGTGTTCGGAACCACGACAGGAGCTCAGTGCACAGAATGCTGAAAGTTGCCAACCCCATCGCTTAGCCCTACAAATCTGAGCGCCAAGCGGCCAGATGCACACTTTGCATCAGGCACTCACCCAGAGTCCGCCATCACAACCCCATGGTTCGCCTCTGAAGGAAGAGAAATCATGTACAGCTCCTGGGTAACGAAAGGCGGGGGGGGGGGGGTAAGCCCCTCATTCATGTGCGGGTCCCGGTCTCGGTCTGCGCCGCGCGTGCCTTCCTGTCTAGCGGCTTGACAACCCACCTTAAGGTCGCGCTCCCCGTAAGCTACAGCCACGAGAGCGGCGAGCAGCCCAAGGCACAGGATGCCCCGCCTCTGACGAGGCTTCACGAGCGCCTTCATTGTGTGGGCGATTGCTGTGCTATCAGACAGTTAGGCAATTAGTGTTCCGCTTAAAAGACGGTCGGGCAGATGCTTTAGCTGTGGGCAACGGAAGCGGCCCAGTCGCCTCGCACACGACAATGGAATCCTCGCCGCCGTGCTGGACCTGGACCTCCCATCGGGTCACCGGCACATCATCGTGCGCTGAGCAACGCTCCGCCCTCGTCCAATGTGACCTCACAGTGCAGAGCTAGACTTTAACACCAGGACTGAGGGTTGGCCCGGGGACGCGAGCACTGCGTGGCGCTTGCATGCCAGGTCCTCTAGAACCTGCCGTGGAGGTTGTGACTATCAGCAACCGCAGTTGACAACCCTGTTGGAGGCGGACGCTCCGCGTCGCTGTCTTTCCTGCCAGTACCTGTTGGCCTGCGCCACGTCAACATCATGCGGTGGACAGAGTGCAAGAAGTGTGCGGCGCAGGCCCTTAGACTGCGGCGGCGTCGGGCGTGCCGGCCAGAATGCCTGCTGTATGATGCGCTTGTGGGCGGCTCGTGGACGATTGGTAGCTCCGATTCGCATCAGACGCTCGGCAGCATGCTGAAAGGCTGGGCAACGGCCACGCCTTGATCTTGCGCAGGAGCAACATGCGGTCAACCCACGTCCACCGGTCCACGCCCTCTGCAAGGCGCACGTGCAGGACAGCGGTGCGTGTTGTACACTCCCTGCAGGCGGTAAGCAACCACGAACCTTGCAATCTGCAGTACAGTACACAGGTGCTGAACTTGCAACAGTGTGAAATGGTGAGTGCAATACGGTATAAACACATGCCATTTGGGGGAGGGGGGCAAGAGCGTGCTGCAGGGTCAACGTCGCCTAACCGTGTATTGTATGAACAGCACCAGCCAGGATAATCCACCTTCAAGGCGTCTCATTACCTTTTCTGAACACTGTTTGTGTCACTGTATCACATTGAACGCCATCAACCTTGTCACCACAGTGGCACCGGCTGCCCGCTGCCTCGACACCGAACGCACAGACACTATATCGTTTCTGAACAGTTTCACATCAGAACAGACCTCATATTTCCATCTTGTGATAGCCCATTCGATTGTTCGGGTGCCTCAGCGGCCATGGCCCAGGCTCAGGCCTTATCGCAGCAGCTCTCCTCCAGGCCCTGCGTGCCAGCCTGAGACTCTAGTGCGCGTCTTCGCAATGGCAATGGCACTGCCAGCACCAGCGGGCGGCAAGCACGTGTCTCCCTGCTGTGTGTGGCGGCGGCGCTGCTGAGCAGCGCGGCCACAGGCTCCCGCGGCATGGGCGCCGCGGCCGCTGGAGCTGGGGCCGGCACGGGCAGCTGCTCATGAGCGTAATGGCGAGTCGATCAGAGCGGCAGAGGAGGCTTGAACTCGGGTTACAGAATATCGCCGCCGAATATGAATTCGGGTGACATGATACATTCACTTTTGTATAATACTTCATATCGCGGGCAGACGGTTCGTGCGTGACTCCGGCAGCTGTCCTTAGTGATCAACTGAATACTGCCCGCATAATTCACTCTTCCACCGTAAACGTGCTCGCGGAGGCGAGGGGTTGAACACCGACGCACGAACGGGTTCAGGCTTGGGCAGCAGCACGCCGCGCTGCAACTCACCGACCGCGCGCCTCAATGTCAGGGGCTGGTGGCCGACCACGTGCGGCAAGTGACCCAGTCGGGATACAGGTGACGGCGCTGGCCAGGGGCTCTGGCGCCCGTGCGCGACGCGCCCCCGCCCCTCCGCCCCCTCTCCCCAAGAGCATTGCTGCTTGCGCGCGCGCAACCAAGGCCGACCCCGCGCGTAACGCACCCTCGTTCAGGTGCTGCAACAGGCTTTCCAGGAGGACAACGGCCGCAACGTCGCCCTCTCGGGCTGGCGGGCCACGAAGAATGTATCAAATCGCCAGTGGACGTTTTATGACCAGGAGGGCAACCGTTTCCGCAGCGTCAGCGCCGCGGTCGCCGCGCTCGGCGGGGCCGTCCTGCTGCGCCGTGCGCCAGGGGGCAAGTTCCTTTGCCCCCTGGCTAGGGACGAGTCCTACACGTACAGGTTCACCCCTGGGGTTGGGCGGGGCCAGTACGTCGGCACGCTAGTGGAGCGCTCGTCGGACGAAGTTTTTTGCAGCGACCTAAGGCTGAACACCGGCAGGCGCGGCGCCAGGCTGAGGGAGGAGGCCGCGGCAGCGAAGCAGCAGCGCAGCCGGCACGGCGAGTGGCAGCCTGCGTTCTTCATCACAAAGTCGGCGGCTGCCGCGTCTCGGGACCCCACCACCACGGAGGAGGGCCTCTTCTCACTGATCGAGCACGAGGCGGGCGTGCGCCTGGGCCACTACGGGGGTCAGCCCCTGACCCGCGCCGACCTCCCCTCAGTGCAAGCCGCGCTGGAGGCTAACCCCGCAGACACGTTCATGATCATCGGCGGCCTGCTGTTCGACGGGCGCCGCGCCCCACGCGAAGACTTTGGAGACCTGATGCAGCTGAGCATGTGCGGCAGGGTGGTGCAGCCGGCGGCGCAGCTCGGATGGCCAGGGATGTGGGCGTTCAAGGCCAACACTGCCTTCGGGCTCGGCGCGCCATTCCAGTGCAACATCGTCGTGACGGAGCCGCACGGCATTTTAGCAACGACCCGCAAAATCCAGGCGTTCGATTTCACCAAGACGCTGGCGGAGAACGCGGGGAGTGAGCTGCTTCGGGACTACGCCTTTGGACCCAGGGCCGCAGCGGAGCCAGCAGCAACATTAGCAGCAGGTGCGGCCGCTGCAGGGATGGCGGCGGCTGCGGGAGCGACGGCGGCAGGAGCGGCGGCGGCGGGAGCGGCGGCCGCGGGAGCAGCGGCGGCGGGAGCGGCGGCGGCGGGAGCGGCGGCGGCGGGAGCGGCGGCGGCGGGAGCGGCGCCTGCTGTGGCGGCGGCTGCGGCAGGTGGTGCGAGGAAGCGAGGCGCAGTCGCCAAGTCCACGAAGCAGGCAGCCGCAACAGGCCCGAAGGCAGCAGCGGCGGCGGCGACGGCAAGGACGCGGGGGGCGGTGGCCAAGCCCAGCAAGCGGGCGGCAGCGACGGGCGCCAAGGCGCGGGGCGGCAAGAAGTCCAATAAGGTCACAGCAGCCGCGCGCATCTGAGGTTGACATGTGGCCGACGGCAACCGGGTGGCGGCGTTGTGCGGTGTCGAGCAGGCGCGCCTTTGTGTGACTCGCCAGCGCCACGCTGGCTGGCAGGTTTTGAGGAGTGGCTCGTTGCAGACTGACCCATCAGTGCCGGCACTCGGATGTGTGATTGGAATGTAGCGTCATCGCTTGTAATTTTCCCTAGCACGCTGTCCTCATTTTTTGTGCGGATGCACCTATGTGCGAATGCAGGTTGCAAGGTTGCATGATGACGCCGCAACAACAGGTCCAAGATAGACCCGGGCGGCACTAATCTGCAGCTAGCCAATGGGGTATCCCTGCCCATACCTGTTCCACCAGGACTCACATCGCAAATCATCTGTGCGCAAAGGTGAGTTGATCAGAGCGGCATTCTTGGATGAGCGCGTGCCTCGGATGAGTGCGCTCGTGGGCGGCTGGTGCGCGATTGGCAATTATACCTGGAGAAGGACACTGGCAGGTATGCTGAAAGCCTGAGTGACAGCCAGGGCTTAATGATGCGCAGGCAAAACACACGGTCAACATCAGTCTACGCTCTCTGCCAGGCGCGCGTGCAGAGCAGCGGTGTGTTTTGCGCACAGGCTGCATGCTGCAGGCAGCAATAAAACATTACAATTACATTACAGGGGAAGCACATGCAACTGTGTGGGATGGTGGGTGCAACAACGCATGGGGATGGGGCGTGCTCTGGGGTCAACGCCGCTTTACCTTTCACTGTATGTGCAGTACCAGCCAGCATAATCCACACTCTAGACGCCGTATGAGTTACTGAACACTATTTTTTGCACGATTATAATCACATTGAACGCCACTGAGCCTTGGCACCACAGTGGCACCGGCTGCCCGCTGCCTCGACAGCGAATGCAAGGACGTTGAATTGTTTCACATCGGAACGGACCTTATTTTTCCGTCTTGTGATAGCCCATTCGATCGGTTGGGTGCCTCTGCGGCCATGGCCCAGGCTCAGGCCTTATCGCAGCAGCTCTCGTCTAGGCCCTGCGTGCCAGCCTGCTCTAGTGCGCGTCTCCGCAACGGCAATGGCACGGCCAGCACCAGCGGGCGACAAGCATGTGTCTCCCTGCCGCTCGCGGCGGCGCAGCAGCAGCGCGGCCACAGGCTCCTGTGCCAAGGGCGTCGCGGCCGCTGGGGCCCGCAGCGGCTCATGACGCGCGCTGTGGCTGCACCACCGGAGGCGTCGCTGGAGAAGGGGGGACCAGGCGCGACATACGCCAATGGGTCGGTCGCCAAGGTGCGTGCGCTGTCGAGTGTGCCATAGTGACATGTGCGCCTCCACAAGGCCCGAGTGTGTGCTGACTTGCTTCGGTGCAGGCAGATGCAGGCAGATGCACCTTGCATCGTGATGAACGCACAGTCAACAGAGTTCAGCAACTGTGGGAAGCGCCGGGGACAGGCGCTAGGCGCAGATTGCGCCGCCCAACAGAGTCGGCTTGCGTCGCGAGCTCGCCTGGCGGCGCCCCAAGCGCCGCAACCCCTCTCATTGCGACGCTGCGTGGCGCCGCAGGTGCCCGTGCAGAACATCCGCAACTTCAGCATCATTGCGTGAGTTGCATGAGTCGCATCAGTCGCAGCGCTGCAGCGGGGCGTTGGTGTCCGCCCAGTGGCTGCGCGGCCGCCCCGCCGCCAGCACGCCCGGACCGAGCAGAGGGTGCTGACGGCGCATGCGGCGCCCGCCCTCCGTCGCGCCTGTTCTCTGCGCATGCATCTGCCATGCAAGCATCAGCAGGGGCGCCTGCGGCAGGCCGCTTCGGCTCGGGCCGATTCCACTCAGCCCTGGCCCGCGCCTCAGCGCGCGCGGCCGCCCCCAGGCGGCTCCTCGCCCTCGCCTCTGACGACCCACCACGTCCCCGTTCACGCGCCCGAACCGCCGCCGCAGCCACATAGACCACGGGAAGTCGACTCTGGCTGACCAGCTGCTGCTGAAGACGGGCACGGTGGCCGCGCGCGACATGGTGGAGCAGTTCATGGACAGCAACGACATCGAGCGCGAGCGCGGCATCACGATCAAGCTCAACACGGCGCGCATGAAGTGCGTGGGCGGCGCGCGAGGGCAGGGGGTGCGCGGGGCAAGGGACGGCCGCGGTGAAGGTGGCGGCTGCGGTGCCGGTGCCGGTGGCGCTGGCGGCGGTGCTGGCGGTGGTGCTGGTGGTGGCGGTCGCGGAGCTGTCACGTGGCTGCGTTTCAGGGCGTTCTCCAGCGAGTGTCGAGTTATGCTCCTCCGTGCTCATCCATCTGCACCCCCAAACACACACATATACACACACACACACATCCCCCCTCCCACGCACAAATAATGCTACACTTAAATTCACGCACACGTTTACAAACAACACACGCACACACAACACACACACAAACAACACACACTCACATCACACCCCCAACACCACTCAGGTACAAGGCCAACGACGGCCAGCTGTACGCGCTCAACCTCATCGACACGCCGGGGCACGTGGACTTTACGTATGAGGTGGGCCCCACCGGTGGCTCTCGTGCAGCTGCCGCGTAGCTGCCTGACCCAACGACCCGAAGCAAACTTCGGGCGGTTCGGCGGGCCGTCCAACCGTTGCAGTTGACCTATGGAGGGATTTTGGGTCTGGATCTGGGGTTTGGGGCATCGACACGGGCGTTTGGAAGGGTTGAGTGGTCGCACTGCGTGGTCGGCGGGGGGCCCATCGCCTGTGCTCACGCCTGCACGCCCCTGGGTGCCCCGCCCCCCGCCCCCGCCCGTCCTGCAGGTCTCGCGCTCCCTGGCGGCCTGCGAGGGCGCGCTGCTGGTGGTGGACGCGTCGCAGGGCGTGGAGGCCCAGACGCTGGCCAACGTGTGGATGGCGATCGAGAACGATCTGGAGATCATCCCGATCTTGAACAAGATCGATCTGCCGGGTGCGCGGCGCGGGCGGCGGCGCCGCCTGGGCTTTCCTTGGCGGCACCACCCCTGCTGGTTTGAGAGTGGGGTGGGTGGGAACGTGGTGTGGTGCGGCGCGGTGGTGGTGGAAGGCGGAGGGAGGGGCACGAGAGGGGCTGGGGCGCGACAACAGAGAGCATGCTGCGCAGTGGCGGGGCCGGGCCGCGCGGCTCGCAGGCGGCGCTGACGGCGTGTCGTGCCAAGGAGCCCTGAAAGCGCCTGACACAGGCGGCCGGGCCCACTCACAGTCGCTCGTTTATTAATCTATTGATCCCGCCTCTTGTTGCTCACCCCCAGGCGCCGAGCCTGAGCGCGTGATCGAGGAGATTGAGTCTATCATCGGCCTCGACTGCTCCAACATTTTGAAGGTGCGCCCCCCTACTGCCCCTCCCGCCTCGATCCGGTCCCCCATCAGCCCCTGACGCGGCGCACCGCGGTGCCGACAGCGCCCCCTGCCCCCCACGCCTTGGACGCTCGGACGGGTGTGCCCGCAGCGAACGCCGCGCCTTCCGCGGCCCCACTGCAGACCGGCGAAGCCGCTTCGATCGGCTAGAGCAAGCGCCCTGCAGCCGTGCAGCCGGCACGCCCCGCGGGCCGTGCCGCGTCGACCCTCTGATCGACCTCTTCATCGCCAACCTTGGAATCCTAATTTGTCCAAATCCTGATTTGTCCAAATCCTGATTTGTCCAAATCCTCATTTGCACAAATCCTAATTTGTCCCTTGCAGGTGTCTGCCAAGGCCGGGATCGGCATCATGGAGACCCTGGAGGCGATCGTGCAGCGCGTGCCGCCCCCCAAGAACTCGACGGCGGACGCGCTGCGGGCGCTGATCTTCGATTCTTACTATGACCCCTACAGGTCGGCTGGGGCGGGGGTGGTTGGGGGGG